CGGGCCTTCCTGTTTGCTCTCCCCTCGGCGCCCCGCCAGCCCACCGGCTTCAGGCACAGCCTTATAAGGACTTTTCTCATGGGTTCAGCCTCCCCAACCCAGCACAGAAATCGCCTCTTTCCTCCGCCAGCTGAGACATATCTGACCGACAACAGGCCTGTGGGCCAACAGGCATCAGCAGCCTGAGGGCAGGTGGGATTTGGGAAGGGGCTTGCCGCGGGCATTTGGTGCGGGGGAAGCCACACTCGGCAGTGAGTGTTTTATGGCACCTTGAAAGCTTTTGTTCCACAGGCAGCCCGGGAAATTGCAGCAGAGCAGGAGGCTGCAGAGCTTCCCCTCCTACCATCTACAGGAGGATTTTCCCACCACAGCAGCAGCAGCATAAATAGAAAGGCATCTGTAAATAAAACAAAGGCAAAGGACAGGCTGCAGAGCGGTGTCTGGGCAGGAGCGGCTGCAGGGCTTGGAAGTCTTCCCCCTCTTTCAAGCACCAAGAGCGGCGCCCTCCCCTCTGCTTGGGTCTGGGATGGCTGTCAGTGGGTGGGAGCATGTAGCGTCCCAGCCCGAAGATCCGAGGGCTTGTCTCTCCCTTTCCAGGACTGGATCCCACTTCCCAGGACCTACCGCTCGTCATGTGAGACACTTTGGCAAGCTTCTTCATGACGTTATCGAGCCGTGACTGAGTGCTGTCTAACTCATGGGAGAAGTCGTCCAGCATCCTGGGGACAGAGAAGCACGGCACTGGTCAGCAAGCAGCGCATCCCTTGGGGATTTCTCAGCACGCTCACACACACTGATCTAAACACCAATGTGATTTGTGTATCACACCTTGGCGGAGAAACCCAACGCGGCCCGCTCTCCTGAAAGTACCCAAGGTGGAGGGAACCTGCTGAAGCAGCATCTCTGGTTTGGTGCACAGTGGGAAGTCATTTGAGACTCCTGTCGGACTGGTCCCCCCTGCATGTTCACGGCTGAGCTCTACGCACCCCTGCAAGGTGAGGAGTGGGGGTTCTCCTTTTTAAAAGGAAAGTCTAATTTATAATCTGTGATTAACAGAGACTGGTTAGATAGATCTATGTGCCGGCTTGGACTTTAAATCTCTTTTCTTGTTCAGGGCTTGCAGTTGAAGCTAAAATCTTGTTCCAGTCATGTATCAAG